ATACTCGACGGAATCTTTGATATCCTTCCTCGCCTATAATTTTCCCTAGTTACTTACCTTCACGCCCTTGTGCTTGTAGGGTTGCTTCTGAACTTGATATTTGACAGTCTTCCTAGTGGCATTCTCTTTTATTTTTGTAATACTCATACGGTACCTTTAACTACCCCAACTCCTATTTGAATATTTCTCAAGGATCACGATGTCATATCTGCGAGACTTAATTCCCCATGTTGGGGTTCACTATGTTTACCTTGCAGGATCTGTTGATGTGTCTGTATCCTCTTATCTAGCCATAACTAGGCTCTTCCTGAATCAACTACTAACTACTCGTTGGCCCATTCTTATATTATATTCCGCGTAATCCCTCTTGGGTTATTCCTTTTGTCTTAACTTACGTCTTGCACTATCTCCTTATCTATCAATAACATCTCGGGCAGGAACCCTTACTTCCTCTCTTTGACATCGTGTTTGCATAATGTTTTGGAATTGTATCATATCTGTAGGATTTGGATAAGTGCAATCTCATTCCTTTCTCATTTTTATCGCATTCTTCCTTTACCATTCCATAGTTACTAGAACCACTTAATTCTGACTTAATGCCACATCACTCCATATTCCCCCCTTTAGGGGAGTACTAAGATTTAGCGCTACGACGATCTACCTATAGATGTTTTATCTCTTCATCTTTGGCATCTTTTCACCTCATCGATGACCCTTACTCGCCTTGCGGTAATCCTTCTATACCAAGGATAACAAAATTCCTTACTCGCGAGGATGACACTTAGTATAACTGGCACATACAGTCCCTTAAGCTTAACTTTGCTCACATTGCTCGCTTTAGGAAAACGTCTTCTTGAATGACCATTCTATGAATTTCTCATGAATCTTCTTCTGTTTTCCATTCTATTATCGCCGGAACGAAATCTGAAATTCTCATGATGTCGACCATTATCAAATCACTCAGTCCCTAGTTCATGTTTAGTTTATCTTGTTCACCAGCCCATATCAATTTTTATTATTCTGGGGTCTAACTTTTCCTTCTGGTAATCGCGTTAGAGTCGCGAACTTATTTCTCGAAATTTGGATATGACTATATGGCCTATACTCTTTTGTTGTCTTAAGGCCCGTCACCTCTTGTCTCTTCCTTCACTTGACTATAGATTTTGTAATACTCTACCTTTGTCATCCATGTATCACCTCTTACTCATAATGCTTCATTATCTCTCTTCTTATTTCCTTGCTAATATTTCTATCTATCACTTTATTCTGAAAACTTTAACAAGTCATTCTTTTGCTTTTAGCTCCCCTTGCTCCATCTACTGGCTCTTCGGGTTGCCTAACATTCTTTCTCTACTAGGGACGACAGCCATACTAAGGTAATATTTATCCCTTCAAGACTTTCAGTGCCTAGCTTTTTAGTACTCATATCTAGCTGTACTATTTTAGAGTGCACCATCTGGGTGTCTCACGAGGAGATCTAATAGCACATTTGCAATATCCTTCGAAAATGTCAACTAACGCAAACAATCCATCCACCATTTTGGGTCACTCTAACCCCAGCCGGATCCTGATATCCGTCCTTCTCTTATACTACTTCTGTTAGCTTCCGTAGGGCACAACTGAGATGGGTCTGGCCGATTGTACATACATCTGTTATTGTTGAAGGTAACTCAAAATTCTTATATCTCTCTTCCTGAATTGTAGATAATGATCATCTTCACTAACTGGGTACCTCGTACCCTTCTTCACCTTGCTTCTTTTACTTGTTGAAACTTGTACCTTCTGATTCTCTCGTTACTTTTTACCATATGGGTGGATAGATATTCATGTCGTAGTGCTCCTTAACAAGAAGCTTACACGTCTTAGTACACACATGATCTGCTTAAGACCTTACATTTACTCATCATAAACATTACGCAAAATCAAGTTCTTCTGACTCAACTCTTCCACATCCACATGCAATCTCTTACCAACTGTCTTTCCGGATGTAGGTATTGTTGTATTACGAATAAAATATAGCTTAAGAGTTTTAATTCTTACAACTGAGCTCTACCACACGATCTAGAGTAAGAAGAAAGAGTGACAGTCCTAAATGCCTTGTAGCCTCCTGCTTATAACTGTGGTGCACAACACACCAATAAACAAGACTCTACTAGACACGTCTTGTAGACTCCCTAGGACAGAACTGCTCTGATACCACTTTTGTCACGACCCATACCGAAGGGTCATGACGGGCACCCGGTGCCTTACTCAACCGAGTACCAACGCGACATATCTTTCTTATCGTACTATCATTGGTAACTGGGCCAACATGGCCACAACTCGTAATGTATACTATAAGTGGAAAAGCATTGTATCGATGAACCATCTTTCTTAAAACATAAATACATATGGGGCGTCAAGGCCTCTGACATATTGTATAAAATGAACCTCTGTCTACAAAGCCTCTAAAAGTATTTGACATCAAATGGGACAGGGTAACGGCCTACCCATAAGTCTGTAGTAAAATTCTGACACGATGACTCATAGACTCAGCTGTACTCCGAATGAGGTGGAGTCTTACGATCCTTCGCCGAATGCTAACCTCGTCTACTATGGGGGCTCGTCAAAATGATTGTCTATACCTGCAGGCATGAATGCAGCGTCCCCAACAAAAGGACATCAGTACGAATAAAGTACCGAGTTTATAAGGCACATAAATAAGTATATAAAAGTCATGGAAGAAACATGGAGTAAATGACTCAACCTGTAATTTTGGATAACTCTGTATATCATGAAATACTTATAGTGTCATGCATATGCGTATGAATGTCATGTCGTGCATAGGTACATGTGTGCATAACATCATCAAGTCTCTGAGGCATCCCATCATATCATCTCGGCCACTGTGGGCAAAATCATCAACGTATACCAGTTGATCAGGTGGTGGTGCGTATATAACGCCGTAACCTTTTCCCATATCCCATATACATATAATATACATATATACACGTATATAACGCCATCTGGTCATGGGTCAATGTACATGTATAAATGAATGCAATGCATGAGAATTACGTCAATAAAATCTCTCGGAACGTCATAAGACCATTATGCCTTTGATTAATATCATGAAATAAACTTTATCAACTTACGTATTTTTTTAAACCCATGAACAGACGATAGAATAATAAGACATATGGGGAATCAAGAATATAAGAACCTCTAGTATTTCTATGAATAGAGTTATTTATGGAAGCTATGCGTTTGCTCGTTTCATTTGTATCGTATGGATCATGCCAAAAGGAAAGAAGGGATAGCCTTAACATACCTGAACCGATTCTCTTGACAATCCCTCTAACACAGTTGATTGCGACAAAACATGTAACGGCGGATCGAAGTAGGAAAAAATTCGTATGATATTCTTTGAAAAAGATTGCACCGTACTCCATTAGAATCGCAAAATCCCGTTGCTATAACATTACGCAGTCTCGTATGATTTTTGTAGCAAAATTACGTTGCTAACATCTAATCTTTTATGAATGAGTTTCTTGAAGCTTCCCTTCTATGTAAGCACCTCCCTTAAGTGATTTAGAGAGCTCTTTTATCCTAATGGGTGTGGGTCCCACTTAGTAGATGACTAGCTAACAAAACTTCTCTAAATGAGCCACTTGTTACATGAGTTAAGACTCATTATTTGGCTTTGATCAAGGCCTCCTTGGGCTGCCACGTTGGGAGGGTTACACTTATCCAAAAATTGTAATTAATTAGCTAATCTCCCACCAAAAATTATTAATTATCCAATTATCCACATAATTAAGAAATATCTTAACTTACTTAAAATACTACTCACTTTTAAAACACTTTATACACCTTACTATCATGGTCATGTGGTACTTTGTGTGGTATTAGTCCACAAATACGGGATATTGTAGCTTGGACCGTATCTTATCTCAAAATGTGAAACTTCGACGAAATTCATTTTTTTCGATTTGCTTGTCTCTCACTTTCACGAATTTACTAATCACTTGTTTGAAATAGCATAATGCTTATAATCCCAAAATAATCTCATTCCCGAACTTACCTCGATTAACCTACGACGAAACTTTAACGTACGAAAATGCGGAATGTAACATCTCATTTCCGAGCTTTCATTATGGCGTACTTTTACGTACAAAAACATGGTGTGTAACAATCTATAACCAAAGTGATGGAAGCACTAAACCACTTTAGTGCTGTGAGAGGCTTGGTGGCAAACTTAGAGAAGTCAAACATCTTTCTAACTGGTATGGAAGAGGATAAGCAGACTACGATCTTGCAGTATACGGGATTCTCTAAAGGGACACTGCCTATCAGGTACTTGGGATTGCCCCTTTCATCTAAGAAGTGGAGTAAAATAGAGTGCTTTCAATTAGTGGAAAAGATAACAGCAAAAATAAAGCAAGCCTATGCAAAGAACCTTTCCTATGTTGGCAGATTACAAGTGATCAATACAGTATTGTTCTCTATATACAATTTCTGGGGTGCAGTCTTCATCTTACCTCAAAGTGTATTGAAAGAGATCGACAGGAAAATGACATTAGTTGCTTGGGACAAAGTGTGTGTACCTAAGAAATATGGGGGACTAAATATTAAAAGCTGCAGAGAATGGAATATAGCATCTGTGGGCAAACTGTTTTGGCAAGTGGCTATGAAGAAAGATGTGTTATGGGTAAAATGGTAAATGAAGACAAATGGAGATGTCTGGAATCACACTCCACCACAGAATTGTAGCTGGTGCTGGAAAAAAATGAATTCCCTTAAAGATACTATGAAGCAATGGTATCAGAATGGAAAGTATGTCATGACTGCTAAAGGTGAATACTCTGTAAGCAGGAGCTATTTAACTGTCATAGGGAGTCCTACAAAAATAAATATTGCAAATCTGGGGTGGAGTACTATCATGCTGCCTAAACAAAGAGTAATTTTATGGTTTGTTTATGGCAATATTTCAGAGTTATTTATAAAAGGGAAGAAGAAGATAGTAAAAGGATAATTTGCTTCATAGTCATTACTTTTCATACAATTCAGATCTGTATGCCCTATTAGATCTGTACAATATACTCTAATGAAGCAGCAGCCTTCCAACTTCAGTCAAAAATATCTATATCAATCAAAACAAGGAAAATACCAGAGAAAAGATATGCAGGAAACTTCCAATTAACCCCACCCCCTTTCTCCCTCTCCCCTCCAAAAAACAAAGGAAAAAAAAGAAGAAATTATTTCGGAAAACAATAATACATCATCAATTTCTTTCTTGATTTTGATCAACTTGCTGTTGCTGCTGATCACAACCTTGCCATGTCCAAACTATATCTTTAAGAGAAGTCTTCAATCCCTGATCAAAGAATTTCTTGTATTCCATTGTATCTCCTGATTTTTTTGAAACTTCTACCACATGGAAAGAAGGTGTAATCTCAAAAATCTCTGCATCAATAGCTAGCTGTCCTTTTCTCCCTTCTTTAATACTTTGCATTGTCACTGTCCCATCTTTCTTCTTCACATTAAAACTCTCATTTGAAGCCACTTCCTCCAGCTTTGATACAATAATAGAAGCTGGTTTTTTCGCCGTGAATCGAGCATCTGATTTTCTTTCTTTTTCTTTCTCAAATAATCCAGAAAGATCAAAACCAGGAGAAAGAGAAATGATATCAAATGCATTTAAGCAAGTAGGTTTCATTGTTGTTGAATCTTGATCTTTCTTTGGATTGGAAGGTCCTTCTCCATCTGAATTATGGTCCTCTATATCTAAAACACTACGAGGCGATTCGAGTTGTTCTTTCCCTGGATTTGTGGTTTTATCAATTTGTTTGAAACCTTTCTTGAACCAGTAATTGTCCATGAGCTTAGTTAAGGTGATTCTTGAACTTGGATTTGGATCAAGAATTCTTGAGAGGAGCTTTCTTACCTCAGGATGGAACCATTGTGGACACTTGAATTCCCCTTTGCTTATTTTTTTGTACATTTCCATAAGGTTTTGATCATGAAATGGTAGATAACCAGCTAACAAAACAAATAAAACAACTCCACATGACCAAATGTCAGCTTTTTCGCCATCGTAACCTCTCTTATTGATCACCTCAGGGGCAACATAGGCTGGTGTTCCACAGGTTGTGTGGAGGAGACCATCTTGCCTTTTTGAGTCTAACAATGCACTCAGCCCGAAATCGGACACTTTCAAGTTTCCACCTATCCAAGAAATAATTAAGTAAATAAATTAGAAGTGCGGGTTGAAAACATAATTAAATTAAAGTAAATGCTCTTCACACCTTCGTCGAGGAGGAGATTTTCCGGCTTGAGATCGCGGTGGTAGACGCCGCGGCTATGACAGAAATCCACTGCAGCGATTAATTGTTGGAAGTATTTTCTAGCTGCATCTTCTTTAAGCCTGCCTTTAGCAACCTTATTGAAAAGTTCACCACCTCTGACATATTCCATGGCGAAATATATTTTAGTTTTGCTAGCCATAACCTCATAGAGCTGGACAACATTTGGGTGTTTGATTAGCCTCATGACAGAGATTTCACGTTTGATTTGATCAATTAGCCCAACCTTCATCACCTTCTCCTTATCAATAATCTTTACAGCAACAGTTTGGCCAGTTTTAAGATTTCTTGCATGGTATACCTTGGCAAATGTCCCCTGGCCTAGCAATTTCCCAATCTCATACCTTTGCATCAAAATGTTGCCTTTCTTCTCGCTCTTGTTGGTCATCTTGGAGAAGAGATTGGTGTTACAATTGAGAATTTTTTTATTTATTGTTGGAGAATCGTCGCCATTGTGCCTAATAAAACTTCCTCACAATCCGTAAGGATTACAAATTGGCGATCCCAATTTGTTTTGGACGGAGGCGTAATTGTTATAGAATGGAATAAGGAGCCTTTTTTGTTTATTCGAAAAATTTGGAACATTGAAGTTAAAAGGATGTGGAGGAGACAAGAGAAAAGAGGCCAAAAACCTTGCCGTTTTTGTGGCAGGGTTAGAGGAAATGGCTATTGGGGAAAGTCCAGTGGTATGGACAAAATTTATGCAATAATCTCATTCTGTTTGATGCCATAGGTTACTTTGGGAATATTGGTGAAAGTTAGTTGGGATATGACCATATCTTAAGATGCACCATTCAATTTTCACCTTTCATTTTCCTTTCTCTTCTCTCATGCCTCAATCACCCATCTCTTAGAATCCACTTAAAATATTTATGTAATTATTATTATTGCAAATAATTGAGAAGACAAACTTATGTAGCTTCAGGGGAGGTCCACATGCACTACTTATAATGCACAGGGTGCAAGGAATACAATTTTAAGTTGAAAACAATAATATTTCTTCTTTTTTAAAACCTTTTTAAAATTGTCGTCCATGTTATAATCTTTAAGGTTCAATGTATTTAAATGGATTTATGTAACTTCAGAATTTTTTTCCACATGTAATTGGCTAAAAGTTTTAAATGGGAGTATGTTTAGATTCCCAAAAATTCTTATACTGTATATTCATCTATCCCAATTTATATGGCGGTGTTCGAATTTCAAGAGTCAAATAATTTTTTTTTTTATCGCAATTTTTTTATATGTCTTTTATATATTTTAAATTGTTAATTAATGTGACATATACTACTTTTTACCTAGTTTCCATATATGTAAATTTAATTCGAAAAAATTAAAGAATCTATGTTCAAATTCACTATCAAAATTTTAATGTTTGAATCTCGAAATCTATCAATCACCACATAAATTGCGACGGACGGAGTATATAAAAGTTAAATTAGAGGTACCTAAGTTCAGAATTTTAAGTTTATCGGTTTTGGATTGTATTAGAGGTACCTAAATTCAGGATTTAAGTTTATGGTCTTGAATCACAATCTCTCTCACTTACTGAATTATTAAAAATTATTCATGTATATGAAATGAGTTTCTTAATATAAATACAAAGTTCAAAACCAAAAATATTGGTTTTACCGAACTATAACTATAACTATAAACTAAGCCCCCAGGTTAAAACTCTAATGAAAGTTGTAAAAATGTTACATACTCGCAATTAATTAAAAAAGAAAATATATTGTGCGGGTCACTTTTAATGCCTGATCGAACGGGTATCTGCTAAGAAGTTAGTGGTGGAGAAAAAACTTGGGAAACAGGTTGATAACAATTATTGTAGTGCTGGAAATTAGAAATGTATAAATTATCCATATTCATTTTCTAATTCGGTTCCTAGTTTCACGACATGTGCTTCTACGTCTCATAGGTCCATATGACAGAAAATTTCGTAGATATTAGAGATGGACAACTAGTTTTAGGTGTTGTTATAAAATGTTAATACTTATAATACATGTGAAATTGATATTTTGTTCACTTGTTCAATATTCCTTCCGATTCTAAGTACTTCTTAAATTGAACATGTGCGTCAAACAAAGAAACTAAATCACATATGTGTAGGATCTAATTTTCCAAAGATGCGCCTTCTTAATAAAACAGCTATATCTTAAAGTAAATTACAAAATATACTACCGGCAAATCCGTATTTATCAGTTGAGGGGAGGTGTGCTGCTATATTATTTGTTAAATATATAAATTTTTGTAACTAGTTTAAGACATTTAATTACTATAGACACTGATCAGGTTTCCAACTTTATGAAAAACTACTTTAGTCATGAGGGATAAATTCGTATGCCCCCAGCCAAATCAGGGAATCATGATAAAGATATATAGCAAAGATAGTGATGACCTGAACAGTTTAATGTCGCTTAATTAGGGTATTAGAGGGTAATCGCGACAGTCCTTTTAGTGTTTATTGTCTATACGATATTAAACTATGGAAATGCATGGCCTAAGCTCTAAGCAAGATTCATGACGGTCCACTTATTTCTTTTGGCTTAACTTAGGAGGCCATGATGTTATTAGTCGTATTCCTTCTCGGTCGGAAATATTAATCGTGGATTTGTTCCAAATTTCAATGTTGTAGAAAAATAAAAGATATACACTTACTTTTTTCAAGTAATGTAGTGTTTATTTAGTGACACGTTAAGGAGAGAGAAACAATAGCATAGACGAACACTCGTATGATTAAGGCTAGTAAATGTCCTTTTTAAGAGGTGTGCGAACATCTTAAAAAACATATACATATGGATCAAAGGTAGTTCCATTTTGTTTAAACATCCAAATATACATCAATAAATTACTTCTAGACCAATAGCATGTGTACACAGATTGGTAGAAAATAATTCGAGAATAGGTGTGTCAACATCTGGTAACCACCTTGACATGTGACTCCTCAATAATGTATCGTGCTGTAGGAGCATGCACGACCATGCAGACATATACCATAAAGATCAGATACGTATATTAGTTTGTGGCTGAAGGAAAGTGAAGTGGACTGATGTCTAACGCTAGCCTAGTGAATGATCTTTGTCACTATTAAGCCTTTTGTTTTAAGGGTTTGTGGACACCGGCGAGTAAAATTAGGCTGATATTGAATATCTCACGAGTCACGACGTTACGCCCCAATTTATTTGAGGCTTTAATGATTGTAGAGTTAGTTCAGTTTTGTTTAACTAATTATTAGTTTACCGATCCTATTTTGTTAGTATATATTTTCTTCTACTTTGGTTTCCCAAATATTGTTAGCTTTGATTTTAATGCAAGTTTTACTTTGTTAGTTATTGTGCTGGATTACCAACTTATAATACTTTATTTATTTGATTCTATTTCTAATGTTAGGAAGCTAATTTGGGTTTAACTATATTTTGACAGTAATATTATTTAGGAATTTTTACCTCCTGTAGCAAGGTTGATACCTTATTTATTTTAGACAAACTCTTTTAAAAAAATATATTCCATAGTCACCTTTTGATTTTTATACCCAAAAATCTATTTATGGTCACCTCCTACCCTTATGCCATAAAATACACTTTGTATTATTTTTCTCTCTCATTCTTTCAGATTTTTCTCCACCCTCTCTCTCTCTCAACGCCAGTCTTTCTCCATGAATACAACCATGATTCTCCACTGATTCATCTCCATTGTCGAACGAAATATTCATTGTCAGTGGCCTGGGGCTCTGAATCAATGTCGAAATCAAGCCCTAGAGAGAAAGATGGAGGTTCGAAATCTGCTATTGAAAGGTAAATTGGGGCTGAACGAAAAATGGCGGCTATGCTGAAAAAATCTGTTTTCATTGGTGAAAGAATTTAAAACCTGTAAAAAGAAAAAGATTAAACTCTCCCCTTTTGTTTTACTAGTAGGAAAGTTGCCTTCTATTTCTCCACTTTCTCTCCATTAATGCCAATCCTCTTTCGTATCAATGTCAAAATCTGACATAGGGTAAATTGGGGCTGACAATGGAGGTTCGAAATCTGCTATTGACGAGACGACATTAGGGTTATTCTTGAACAAAGACGACGGAGTTTGGGGCTGAGCAACTTGAAGAGTCTGTTACCTTTTTTTTCATTGCATTTCAATGTATCTCGCTGTATTCTATGTATTTCATTGTATTCATTGTCTTTTTTTCCCATTATATTTCAATGTATCTCGCTGTATTCCATGTATTTCATTGTATTCACTGTCTCGCTATATTCCATCAACGAATTCATATGTTTTTTTTAATTAATATAATTTATGTATTCAGATTTAAATTGAGTTTGTTGAGTTATATTTGGAGTCTATTTGTGTTAATTGATTCACTTCCCGTTTATAAACAACTGAATAGACCACGATTTATGCTATTTACGTTACTGTATTCACAAATACATATTGTGAATACAATTGAATACAATAATCGCCTAGCTGTATTTCCCTGTTTCACGCCGAGTTTTGCTACTGTATTCATGAATACAACAGCTTAAATACATCGACTATACTCTAGCAAAACTGAAAATATAGCTATAGGAAGTAATATAGTAAATGGTAGCTACAACTAGCTAATAACCACTAAACAATTGTGGTTTGTGAAAATTTCTCTATTATTTATTCAAAGCTAGAAAGTGTTAGACCGAATAGCAATCAGCTATGGCAGAAAATAAATGAAGGAAACCCTAGGAAGGGTGAGAGAGAAGAGAGAAAGTGAGTAGGTCAAAATAACAAAGACCAGACTCCGATATTTTTATTTTCTTGTATCTCTTATTTACATAACATGTGTATTTATATTTATAGTAACATATGTGTAAAGAATAAAAATAAAATGAAATGAAAATATAATTGGGCCGGGTATCTTCTTATTGTTGCTGGGTTGGGCCCTTTCCTTTTGTTGAAATAGTTGAGTCCATATCAGTGTTTAACAACCCCCTTTAAGCTGGAGGGTGGAAACACACCAAGCTTGCCAAGAATGCTCTGATGAAGCTGCCCAGATATAGCCTTGTTCATAATATCAGCTAGCTGGTTGGTACTAGATACAAAATGCAAAGAGATACGCCCAGAATATAAACACTCACGAACATAATGGCAATCAATCTCAATATGCTTCGTACGTTCATGGAAAACTGGATTATTGGCAATGTGAAGGGCAGCCTGACTATCACAATGGACTGGGACAGGGGAACAAATATGAAGACCAAGATCCCAAAGGAGTCTGACCGGCCATGAAAGCTCAACAGCAACTTTCCCGAGGGCCTTGTATTCAGCCTCAGCTGAAGACAAGGAAATAGTGGGTTGTTTCTTGGTTTTCCAAGATATGGGGCTACCACCAAGTGTCACACAAAACCCAGTAACTGACTTGCGAGAGATAGCACAAGAGGCCTAATCAGAGTCAGAACAGTCCACAAGAGACAAGTCAGAAGAATTTGAGAGAAGCACACCCTGAGAAGGAGCAGTCAATAAGTATCTGAGAACATGCAGTCCAGCCATCATGTGAGGAACATGAGGCTTCTTAATTGGCTCAAATGTTGAACAGAAAAAGAGATATTTGGTGTAGTGTGCTGCAGGAATTGAGCTTGCCAGTTAGTCTTCTGTATAGACTAGGGTCAGTGAGTGGATCACCCATATCCATAGTCAGCTTCACAGAAGGATCCAAAGGAGTCACAACAGAAGAAAAATGATGGCAATTGAACTCAGCAAGAAGGTCAGTAGTGTATTTATGCTGACTCATGACATAGCCCTGAGAAGTCTTTGAGATCTCCAGACCTAAGAAATAGTGAACTGAACCCAAATCCTTTATCGTGAACTGATCATCCGAAAAGGATTTCAG